AAGAACGTAACGAACGTACGACGTACGTACGTACGTAGTAGTAGTAGTAGTAGTAGTAGTAGTAGTAGTAGAGAGTAGTAGAGTAGTAGTAGTAGTAGTAGTAGTAGTAGTAGAGAGAGAGAGAGAGAGAGAGAGAGAGAGAGAGAGGTCTTAGAGATAGAGAGAGAATGGGAGGTTTCGCTTCCTGCATCCGCATCCCCATCCCCATCAGCATCCGCCCTGCTCAGAAAGCCGACTACGCTCGAGTGATCCACCTCAATGGCTTTGTCGAGGACTTTCCTGCCCCCACCCCCACCGTAATCCAGATCACCGGCCCGGCACCCAAGCACTTCCTCTGCTCCTCCGCCCGCCTCCGCGCACTCAATTCCGATCCCCTCCCCCTCACCACCCACCTCAACCCTGGCGAGCTCTATTTTCTCCTCCCCCTCTCCGCCTTCCAGTGTGGGGCCTCTCCTATCGATTTGGCCGCCCTCACAGCTCGCCTCGGCGTCAAGGCATCCCGAAGCCGGCGACCGCATACCATTTCATCTCCTGTATCTCCTCTTAGGTTGCAGAAGACCCCCACCAGTTGCGGTGGCTCTCCGAAGTCAGATATCGGCATGCCGAGCACTTTGATGCAGCAGGTGATGAGTAGAGAGCGGTCGTGGAGGCCGGTGTTGGAGAGCATAGAGGAGAGATCGTTTGGCCGCAAGGGATCGAGTTAGTTCAGAGAGATATTACAGAGATTCGATCGAGTTAGAGCACATTTTAAAGATTCGGCTTGTCGACTCATATTCTCGGGATACTAGGACCGGTTTGGGTTGGCCCAAACTCGACGCAGTCTTCTCGAGGCCAATCGGTTGCGAACCATTTTGAAGTTCAAGATTTTAAATTGTAATCCGAATTGACTCGGTGAAGGAGTCAACTAGGGCGGTTCCTGGTTTAATTCCCGTTTTTAAACTGTTTCACTGTGAGATACAACGAGTCATGCACGTTTTTAGTCAGGCTCGTGTTGCGATATGCCTTTTCGAGGCCTTTCTAGCGTCCTGCATATTTGATTTTATGTTTTGTATCCGAATTTTGGAAGTGGCAGGGAGAGAGAGACATTTCGTAGGACTTGTTTTAATCTAAATTTTTGGATCTACTTTAGAATATAATATAGTATATATAAATAAAATTCTATGTTTTTACATGCTTAAATCTCATCGTCCAAAAATTGGATTGTTTCTGTTTAACTTTAGGACATAATCATACACATTCAAAGAGTATTTGGTTTTTTATTTTTTAAATTAATTTGGAAGTACAAAAAAACACTAGAAGATGGGGTTTATACGAGAAAGTGAATGGATGATATGCCCCAAAGGGAGTATGTAATCTTTTGATTTTAGAGAGGCCACAAGATTTTGTGTTTCCTTGAAGGCATTTCGTCTATGTACACCCTCTGGGAAATCAGTCTGAGAGTATTTTTATTTTTAGGATCCCAAATTTTGGGGTGCGAACTCCTCAATTGGGTGAATAAAAAAATGATTTTAAAAAAATGTTTTACAAAAAAAAAAAAGAGGATTGAAAAAAAGAAGAAAAAGATTGCATATAATGAGGCTGTTTATCTTGCAAGGAATTGATGAGTACTTATAATCATCCTATGTGAAATTTGATAGCTTGTGTGTGCTACAAAATTCGAGAGAATTTCTTTTGAATTTCGAGCTCGATCAGTGGAATAAATGCAACAATCCCAAGATTGAAAGAAACTTATTGTTAGTGGATGAGATCTAAGTGTCGAAGAACTTTATATATATATATATATAGGGTTTGTTTAGAGTTAACAACCCCTCAAAATATAAAAGTTCAAGTTAGAAGGGGTTGTGATGGGTGTATTTATGAAAACAATCATATTTTTTTATTAAAAAATTACTTAAATAGGTAACTTTACCATTAAACAAGAGCAAATTTAAAATTTTCACAAAAATATAGTAGCCTTTTGAAAGTTTGGGTCGTGGAACTTTGTTTGTAGAGCGTCATTATCCTTTAGTTAAAATTTCAATTTTATTTATTATGGAAATGACAAAAATACATTTTTTCATGTAGTAATATCTACAAAATATTCCCACAAAAGTAAATTTTTTTTTAAAAATAAACTACAAAATTAATAAATCCACGTTTCACAACTTTATGTATCTTGAATTTTTGTAATTTTTTAAGGATTTATGAAGTTTATATTATTCAAAAATATNTATATATATATATATATATATATATATATATATATATATACTACTCTACAGTGTACGTACCGAAGTAGTAAGTTACTAGTTCCTACCTACTATACGCGA